CGTGTCAGATGTCCCCAAGATGTCTACTTGCACTGCTAAGGAGGGCATCTAGAAGTGATGCGCTCCACTTTCGAAGATAATTTATTGTAAAAATATCAAAATTATATAAAATCGACGGTTTATAGTACCGTGCTGGTGGTTCTTGATGTCCCAAATACCACAAAACGGTCCATTATTAATATTCTTGAGCTGCTTAAAAAACCTGTCGCCGTTAGTCGTCATTGTGTTCAAGAAGCCTTGGTTACGGGGAAGCACTTATTGGACTTTGCCTCTGGCTCATAATTTTTGTATACTCGTACATACGTTTCATCTAAATAAATGAGTGGTTTTCCTTCCGCTCGTTTAACAACTATTTCTCGTTCATAAGCAGCAATATCAAAACGTTCAACAAGAACTATTCGTTTATTTTTATTTTTCTTATGCTCATATCCATTTGAAATTATATTTTACGCAGTTTCTGTGCATTCACTACAGATCGTTATTCTTCTAACAATGTTCACAATGTTGAATGAAAAAAACGTCATTTTCTCACAACATGAAAATCATTGATTTTATTTCTTGCAGCAACAAGATTTTGATGCATTTTTAATCATTTGTAGTTTTCCTGACTACAGACTGAAAAATCTATATTTTTGATAACAATATCGTTGCAGTTTTGACTATTTGATATAGAGCAAAATCTGTCACGCAGAACGTATGGGTTCTTCTAATTCAATTATTCAATTTAAAATAATAGGGGTTCCTGATAGTTTGTCGTTTTGACGGAATTCCAAGGATATGGCTGCGCATTTAAATAGCTGTTTATCTTGTCGACTAAGAACGTCTTCAGTGTGTCACGATTATCGCCGGTAGTAATGTGGTCATACATGCACTGACCACATATACGAGTAATTTGACTACATATACGTTGCTCACTTGCAATAGCTTTCCCAAGCTTTGAATTATATCTCCAGTTTTTGGCTGTGCTGATGTAAATAATATGGTACTGTGTCCGTCTTGTTCCCTGATGACTTTCATAGTCCGTTCGCAGTGCACGACTGGGATATTATTTGTACAATCTTGGAATCTTGTCGATCCATTTGTTATTTCCTGGTTTTTCATCTAGAAATTTCAATGTCGTTTGGAGGATCAACTTCATTTAACTCAATACAAATGTAACACCACACATGCCACAATCACCTGAAGAACTGTTGAAGTTTTGTTCAAAGTAATTTCTTTTTCTAAGCATGGGCAGCGACGTTTAAGTACCCCAAAGTATTTATCCGCGGTGTTTCTGGTGGAAATGTGGCTTTTATTATAAGCTTCCTCTGCGCCATTTTGAGGGTTCAAAAAAGGGGTCAGCAAATAATTCTTATTAAAGTAGCCACTATCTCCTAATAAATGGTATGGGCTATATTTTCCCTTTTCAAAATCTGCACACAAATGGGAATTATTGATAATTGTAGAATCGTGTACAGATCCGAGCCATCGAATAATTCAATCTCTTATTTTTAGAGAAGCATCGCATACAGCTTGAACGTTAATTGAAAAATACCCTTTTCTACAACGATACAATTCAGCTTACGACCCTCCTCGGCTAACTATTTTGATATGGATGCAATCTAGGGCTCCTGCAACCCGAGGAAATCCAATAATCTCATAGAATTTCTCTGCAACTGTTCTCAGCTCTTGCCTATCTGGCATTTTAATATATTCTGAGCTCAGATCTGCAAGCTTGCGCGTCACTCTGTTTTATTCGACATACTATCGAATACTGTCGATTTGTGAATATTGGTTAACAGGGTGTCCACATTCTGGAAAGTCAGGGAAAGTCAGGGAAAAGTCAGGGAAGCTCATAGCAGTCAGGGAAAGTCAGTGAAATAGAGGGGTCACCTGGAAAGTCAGGGAAACATTGAGATTTTGTCTACCAAAACACTGTTTGTCTCCCGTAATTTCCCAGTGATTGTAAAATGAGGGATTTAATTAATTTATGCTCTAGAAAGACCTTTGATCTTGACTATCGAAGCATTTTTTTTTTCAGGTTTGGAGTGATCTACATTATGATTTTGTTTTTAGTCATAATTATATTACTCCTTTTTAGTTTTTTATCTAATGAAGTGGATTGATCTAAATTATGACACAATTTTGTTCATAATTAGATTACTTTCATATAGTTTTTTTTTTCAGGATAAGAGTGATAGATCACTCTGTTATGTTTTTTTTTTGTCATAACTAGATTACTCCTTTTTGTTTTAATAGTTGTACTTTTTTGTTTCAGTAAAATGATATATTTTCTATTGTCGATGTGAAAGTGCAACTTATAACTTATGTTTATTTTATTTTTTTATAATTATTTATTGATTTGATTATTGAGTGCAGACTAGTGAGCAGTTCACTGTGAGTGCTATTAATACAGGGTGGAAACGATAAGTGATCTCATTCGATTATTTCTAAACTACACAAGATATCGAAAAACTGCTTACAGATCTTGAAAGTGCTTCACGAGCTCTTTTAAACGATATCAGTAATAGGTTACAGAATTAACTGGATCTATCCGAAAAGTCAACGTGTCCCAAAATTCAAGGATAAGCCGGCGCCGCAGAATGGACATAGTCATGACTACTTTAGGAAAAATAAGGAAAAAAATCTATCTCAATTATTTTTTAAGTTACATAATAAATTACGAAATTCTTCGAATATTGACACCCCTTATGATATTTTACATTACCACGACCACCATTTTTCAAATATTTCTGTTTTTTTGTTTGTATCGGCAACTTAAGTAGCGTTGCTGTCCACCCCAACTCTTAAAACCCCCAGAATTATTGCAGTTTTTACACAAAAGTTAATCAAAATATTTTATATCCTTAAAATGTTGAAGGATTTTTACTTTCACTCCACTTTTACTCATCGTTTTGTAAAAAAAAAGTATGAACACTACTGCGGCAAGTTTTTTATAAAGTTGACGCAACTATCCAAGATTCCAAAATGGTATAATACTCTAAGAAGTCTAGTCGCAAAAAAGATATTATGCGTACCATTTTTACAAGCACTTCGCTTGTTAGTTAGTATGGGATAAATCTTGCAACTGAATTTAAAACCAGTTCTCCTCAACCGATTGAGCTAAAATTTGGTATACTTATGTAAGTACGATGAAAATGCAATATTATGGTACCATTGAGCTGAAACTGGAGGTGGCCACAGGAACTTCTAAACGAAACGGCGGTATTGCATTTAGTTTGGGTTCGTTGGATTTGTCTTTTAGAGCACTTTAGTGCTAGATAATGTCCAGGGTCCTGATGATGAAGTCAATTATAATTTTCAAACGAAGTCAAGCTTGTTTTTAAAAAAGTTTTTTTTTATTACAACTTTATTTTAAACTTTTTAGTTGTTTCTCAATCTCATGGCCTAAGGATGGCTTCCGCCGTTTCGTTTAGGACTTCCTATGGCCAGCTCCTGCCACCTCTTGACTTCATCATTAGGACCCTGGACATCATCTAGCACTAAAGTGCTCGAAAAGACAAGTCCAACGAACCCAAACTAGATGCAATTCCGCCGTTTCGTTAAGAGTTCCTATCTCAATGTCTCTCTGACTCTGACTCCATCCAGCTCAATGGTACCATAATATTGCATTGTCATCGTACTTACACAAGTATACCAAATTTCAGCTCAATTGATTAAGGAGAACTGGTTTTAAATTCAGTTGTAAGATTTATCCCATACTAACTAACAAGCGAAGTGCTTGTAAAAATGGTACGCATATCTTTTTTGCGACTAGGTTTCTTAGAGTACCATTTTGGAATCTTGGATAGTTGCGTCAACTTTAAAAAAACTTGCCGCAGTAGTGTTCATACTTTTTTTTACAAAACGATGAGTCAAAGTGGAGTGAAAGTAAAAATCGTTCAAAATTTTAAGGAAATAAAATATTTTGATTAACTTTTGTGTAAAAACTGCAAGGATTCTGGGGGTTTTAAGAGTTGGGGTGAACAGCAGCACTACTTACGTTGCCGATATAAACAGAAAACCAGGAATAATTGAAAAATTGTGGTCGTGGTAATGTAAAATATCATAAGGGGTGTCAATTTTCGTTGAATTTCATAATTTATTGTGTAAGTTAAAAAATAATTGAGATAGATTTTTTTCCTTATTTTTCCTAAAGTAATCATGACTATGTCTATCCTGTGGCGTCGGCTTATCCTTGAATTTTGGGACACGTTGTATACATAGTTGGTCAGGGAATTTTGAGAAAATTGTCAGGGAAAGTCAGGGAAAAGTCAGGGAATTTTTTCGAACATTTGCAGTGGACACCCTGGTTAAATCACCTATAGTACCCGCTGAAAAGATCCAGTGGCAAAGAACCTCAAACAAATTAATAATTGGGTTATGCCATCTATGGCTTAATTTCGTTGTGTTAATGGTTCCAAAATCCAAAAGCTTTAGAAACACGATATCTGACGCGGAAATTTTCACCATCGTGTTCATCAAATATGTTTACTCTGTCTGGTATTCTACGTCCAGTTAAAACAACTTCTTCCGGGTCCGACAACGACGATAAACTTGAGGCGTGGATAGGCTTTAGCGATCGAAACGTTTTTTGGGTTAGAAGTTAATTTTATTATTTAGAATGATATAAATAAAATAGTACAGAGAAAAACTAAGGCTAGTGTGGACTTAAATATGCCGCTGCTGCCGCGGTGAATTTTATTTTCCAAGTCGGGTGCTTATTGTAGTTCGATAACTCTCCCCTACGTGTTTTTCTTTAGGTTCGAGATTGTCCACGGTTGTAAAACGATGTCTCCAAGCAGCAATATCAAAACGTTCAACAAGAAACTGTTCGTTTATTTTTATTTTTCTTATACTCATATCCATTTGAAATGTATATTTTACGCAGTTTCTCTGCATTCACTAAAGAACGTTATTCTTCTAACAATATTCACAATGTTGAATGAAAAAAACATCATTTTCTCAAAACATGAAATTTATTGATTTTATTTCTTGCAGCAACAAGATTTTGATGCAATTTTAATAATTTGTAGTATTCCTGACTACAGTCTGAAAAATCTACATTTTTGATAACAATGTCGTTGCAGTTTTGACTATTTGATATAGAGCAAAGTCTGCCACTTTTTATTTAAAAAAGTAATAAAAATCTGGCACTGCAATAATGAACATTAGGCTGAACGACAGAAGACATTAGGCTGGCCAGTAGGTGTCCGGGCCGCTGAAGAATCCGATTCGGGTCCCTATCATGCCTGCTTTGTTCACAACGTGTTCTCCCACAGTCTCTGCGCTTCTGCGCGACCTGGTCGGATCGGTGATCTGTGAATAGAAAAAAATAACATTAATTTCGTTGAAACTTACAAGACGTTCGGAGGGTTGGGGCACACGTTAAACTCTTGGCTTAGAATTGTAACGATGATAAGATATACTCACAGTTCTGTACTCAGCGTGAGGGGACTCCGCCATGGATTCTGGCCTCGCCTGTGCCAGAAGGAACGATGCTAGTAAAACCAGTAGACCTTTCATGTTGACTGTTTAAACCGGTAGCTGCGAATAAAAAAAGTATGGAACCGTAACTTTCTATTGTGACCACAGGAAGGTACACAGTGTCATCCGCCGTACGCGTGGAGCACCGGGCGAGGTTCTCTTTGACACAATGGTGGTCTCGTCGTCGCAACAGCTTCCTCGAGAATGTTCAACCAGCTTGCGACGTGATGTGAACAGTAATGATGGTCGTGTCCATACTTGCACGCCTCCGTTGGACAATTTCTGAAGGCTTCAAAATCTTGGCTTTTCGGGTTAACCAAGTGACACGGGCAGCTAGCGAATTGACGTCTTGAGCACTGATTCAAATGGACGTGCACATCGATGAAATCCGTTAGCTCAGGAACCCCTGTGAATTCCTTCATTGTTTCAGTTACGATTCCACCAAAAATAGGTGACAAAGATTTGACGTTCATCAGTATCTGATGTTCTTTTGGTCTTGAGGGGTCGAAGTTGTACTCGATCACCATTGGCTTTCCGTTGATGAACTTGGCTTCGGTCCGGTAAGTGGATGGCTCCCACAACTTTTTCCGAATGAGATCATTCATGACGTTATCGGGATAAAAGGATTGAACAAACCGTTTGTAGTCTTGGAAGCACATGAAGTTGGCCATGTAGAGAATCATCTCCAAGGAGAAGACAGAGCGGTGGTGATGGTGCAGCCGTATTTTCAGAGACGCGGCGGCGTTTTGACGTCGACTTTTTTCCTTTCGAATTCATTGAGATTAAGAGGAAATATACTTTTCGTATGACGCGGAAAACACTAGCCAACAGCGAGACGGTTGATTACGTTCTGCAGTCTCAGAAGTTCATACGATGAGAGTCGATCTAGGCTATCAGTTTCCCAATTTATAGGCACGAGACTTATCAATCCGTCAATTTATTTACACGAAACTTCCTATGTTCCGTATATCTGGTTATAAGGCCACAAGTCATACATTTAATTGTATGCAACGTGTGATACTTCGATAAACTATCGTAGTCGATAACATGACTTTAATTCGTACTATTGCATCAACTAGGTAGACAGACTTGTAGGTATGTTCCAAAAAGTTTGACCGCGAAGTGAAATACTGATAGTAGCCGCGATAACTGTTGTTAATACTGCACTTCGATTACATAACGTGTCCTCTGTATATGCGAGCGATGACTTTGACTGTGCAGTACAAAGCAAACATCTATTATCGTGAACATATGTTTACATACAATATGTTTTGCCCTCAGCTCCCGCGCCCGTGATGTTTTCCGTTTCCGAGAATGCATTGCGACGATACAAGACTTTTGTTAAAACAGCGTTACGGACTGAGCGCGTCCTACACGGCAGACGTTCAGAGCAGCTACTGACATCAGCTAACATCTTACGTTTAAATTTAAATGAATATTTATGATATCGCTGCTACGTGTTATCACACATGGCCATTATTGTTAGATGTCCACAATATGTTTTATATTATGCAGATGTTTATCACCTTGGATTTGCATTGTTATTCACGTGCGAACGGCGTGCACTTCGAGACTAAGATAAAAGCCAATGATAAAATACAGGAACGTTGCGACACTAAACTCATACAGCTTTTTTTTTACATTTAGCGTCGAAACTGTCGTGCAGACGTCTCTTGACGTGTAAAGGTCCAGTATGGTTTGTACGCCGTGTGGTCCAGCCATATTAACCGTAGTCGCGTCTCGCTATGCATGTCATAGAGTTTTAAGTTCGTCGTCTAACGTGCCGTTCACGCTACGAACATCATTCTGTATCACTCTTCAACCGAAAGTGACAGGTGTGTTCGTAAGAGCCGTTCACACTTGTTTTCCGCTATCATCTTATCGCACGTGCAGATCAACTTGCATTTCCACAAAACTGTGTAGCTGGAGTAACGAACCCGGCACATGTTACGTGAGATAAAATAAGTTTTCACTGCCTGCATGTGAACATGAACAGCCGAGATTGATACAAGTAGATCAATGCTATGAAAACTGCTAAGGCGATACGGGCGCCACAGTGCGTACTTTTGAACCATCCGATCATTCTTATAGTCAAATAATTTGGACTTTACGGCTGAAGCTTGGAAAACATTGCATTATATACCTTTTTCCCCTGAGTATAAAAATGTATTCATCACCTCCCTGCGATGCTCCATTTCGAAGTTATGGACCGTACGCTTATGTACCACAGACTGTACTGGACGTTATGTGGCGTCAGCTTATTCTACGTCAATGATACCAAGAAGTTATTAATAATTTTTATTTACATATTTATAAATACCCCTAAATAGACCCGTATCATTACAAAAGTGTATCATGGCACTTCATAGAACCAGGCTGACCCATTGAAGAGTCCAGCCCGGCTCCTGCACACCCCTGCTTCTTTAATAGCACTCGGCGCTTTGTCCCTTCCATGGGACATCTTGAGATCGGTAATCTGAGTATAGAAAAGTTAACATTAATTTCGTTGAAGCTTACAAGACACTTTGAGGGCCGGGGCACACGACAAACTCTTTGCTTAGAAATTTTAATGGTTATACTTCGATGGGTCGCTGATAGGAGTTTATAAAAATACTCACAGCTCTTGGATGGTCACGCAACTTTAGCGTGGGGTCTGGTCCTATCTCCAACAGCAGTAACATTATTATGAGAACCAGGGATCTGCTTGTTTTCTACAGCTCACAATTCACAATCCAGTAGCTACAAATGAAAAGAAACAAAATATTAAACTCAGTCAGTCAGTAAAGGAGGAGGCTGCATCATTTATCTCTTCGAAGAGATTTTTATGCTGCGGTGGGGTGATTGCCTCTTTGATAATTTATAATTTGGTCAGTTGAGTGGGTTTTTCGGAGGTCTGTTGGAGGGGAAGACTCTTAATTGATCCCCCGTGTCAGATTGATCATTATTGCTTCCACTGCCTTCCGAGGGTCCTTACACGATTTGTACTTTTCCTTGAATTGAAGATGGATTGCCTCTGGGTGTACTCTAATTAGCGGGGACGCATCCTCACTGAGTTCATTATTGATTTCACTTGAGTAATTACATTCTTGATCTTTTGGGTCTGCTCTCCTTCATACTGAATGTCATAGCCAGAGGATGTTTTAATGTAGTGGTAAGGGGAATGGGGATTGGAAAGGGAGGCAGACTGTGGTTTTGGTTGAGGGGTCGACATTTTGGGAGCTTGTGTTGTAGGGGTCTCAATATGTAGTTTGAGTAATTTGAGTTGACTCTCCAAGTTTGCCATGTATGATGAGCAAAGAGATGATTGAGCTCGCCATACACTCTCAGCATCCGAGATTGATTTTCTAAACCCCTATATGGAGGCTGCGGCCATCTTCAAGTCAGCTGTTATGGTTGCTTGGGACTCCATGTAATTGAGGAAAAGGTCACTTTGAGTTGCCCTCATTGAATCAATTAGTCCTGTCAGGTAAGCAAAAGGGCCAGTGTTCTGGGTCAAAGCAGGGTTTGGAGTTTTCTGCAGAAACAGATCTACAAAGGAGCAAACCCTGTCGCTCCCTAACATCTCCCAGTTTTGATCTAGCATATCTAGGGTGTCTTGCCCCAGTAGCTTGGAGTCTCTGAAGCAAGTGAGGACATCCTTCCTCATTGTCATCACTACAGTTCGTGTTGTTTTGGGCTCAATGCAGTCTTTCCGGAGCCCACCCCATCTAGCCTTAAAGATCTTGATAGGGTCAGGGGGAGGTTTTTGTTGTCCTTCTTCCTGCTGAGGATTCTTTTTTGTTGCAGGACTTTCCTTGTCAACAGGTTGGGGACTAGGTTCCTCCCCAGTAGCCGAAAACTCTGGAATCTCTACTTGGCAATTCGGGTCAAAATAGGCTCCTGGGTCAGGGACTCCCATTGATTGAATTAAGTTATTGTCATAGGGCAGGCCTCCAGGAGGGATATCATCAATTACTGCAGGTAAATCAAGGGCCACCTGTTCACTCCAGGACCCAATACCTTTTGATGACATGCTTTCTTGTGTCCGATTGATCGTAAGGTCTGATCGATAAAAGACTAGGAAATTCTGTCTGCTGCCTCCTGTTGGGGTGGTTTTGGGACCTTGTTTGTTCCTCCTACTCTAGTTGTAAAACGATGTCTCCAAGCAGCAATATCAAAACGTTCAACAAGAACTGTTCGTTTATTTTTATTTTTCTTATACTCCATCCATTTGAAATTTATATTTTACGCAGTTTCTCTGCATTCACTAAAGAACGTTATTCTCCTACAATGTTCACAATGTTGAATGAAAAAAACATCATTTTCTCACAAGATGAAATTAATTGATTTTATTTCTTGCAGCAACAAGATTTTGATGCAATTTTAATAATTTGTAGTATTCCTGCCTACAGTCTGAAAAATCTAAATTTTTGATAACAATATCGTTGCAGTTTTGACTATTTGATATAGAGCAAAGTCTGCCACGCAGAACGTGTGGGTTCTTCTAATTCAATGGCCTCCGCAGAATAACAGCGTCCTGTTCTGGGGTCTACCTCAGAGCAGGACACAATGCTGAGCGGATGCCATTTTGGTCCACAAATGTGCAAGTATTGCAAGCTGTGTATACTGTGTAATAATTTAATATGTTGGGCCAAATAAAATATTTTCTTTCTTTCTTTCTTTCAATTGTTCAATTCAAAATAATAGGGGGTTCCTAATAATTTGTCGTGAAAGGTGTCGTTTAAGAAAGAACTTCGTTTGGTTATACCACACCTTTTATTTTCACAAAATCATACAATGCCACACAGTGTTTCACAGTATTTCACTTACGACCGTACTAATCGACCGCCAGTGATCGAATGCCCGAGCAGCCAGAGACTGTGGAGTCTAAACAGTGATATTGGGAGGGGAGAAAGTGTTACCAGTAGTGAAATAACGATAACGGAAACGTTATCGTTATTATAAATATTCCGCAACGCTATTTTGTTACAGTTGCCAGTAAAATAAATTGATAGTGGTATTTGGAATACTAATGGAATTTGACAACGATATTTAGTAACATAGGTATTTTTGTAACAGTCGTTTTGTCGGAATTCCAAGGATATGGCTGCGCATTTAAATAGCTGTTTATCTTGTCGACTAAGAAGTTTCTTTGAAGAACTGTTGAAGCGCCCTTGCTGTCCAGCACCTTCACCATCGCTGTGGAAAGCAAAACATGTGGCGGAGTAGTAATCTGCTTATTAATGTCGGTGGAATTTGCAAAATTGTTAATTGGGACAGAAGGTCCAGGCGTGGGGTTTGATTCATGTAAATGCAAAAGAGTGTTATGCATTTTTTTGCAATATTTACAAGGCAAAAGACTGCATTTATTTTCTACATGACCTGGTCTAAGACAATTTAAACAAACTTTGGCCTCTGACGCCTTTTGGATACGGGTTTCAATAGGAAGAGCTCGAAATGATTCACAATTAACCCTCGCTGTACGAGGTGGGGTGTGACACACCCCAGTCCTTTAAAAATAGCCACAATTTTAAAAATTTGCAAGTGCTGAATTTGAAATTCTCAGTAGCTGGAATTATGACACTGCTGCTTCGATCAGCGTTGCAAAATCAGTCCAGCGGTGACTACCAACTGAGTTACATGCCTTTCAAGTGCGTGTGGGTGTCACACACCCCACCTGGTACGGGACGTTGTTAAAAAGTTAAAAAAAAAATCTAACAGTTTTGGTGTAATTTATTTATTTTTAGCTTTGTCAATTGAATAATATTCAATACAAATATTATTTTTCGTGATTTTTACGGTATCTGAAATTTTCAAGCACTTTTAGTCAAATGAGATGACTTTTAGTGCGAATCTGGAAGTTTAGTACTGAGATCCGAAGATGTATGTGAACATACACTTATGGGCTACAATTTATACTTGGTGATACAATTTATGGGCTACTGAAATGGAATAACATATTTTATAAATAAATAAAATTGTTACGCTCCCATTTTATGCATTGAGCATACTCATTTTCTTTCATCAGAATTGTGGTAAATTGAAAACCGATGATCAAAACAAATTTATACCCTTCCAGTTTTTAATTTACTTTTAAATTATAAGTGAATACTTGTACTTTGTTAAATAAAAAGGGTTGTCATAATTAAAGGCACTAATTAAAAATTAAACACAGGAAACTGATTCCTAAATTACAAGAACAACGGAAATTGTCTCTTTTTGTTTTTTTACTATAAAAATGTTATAATACATATTTTCAGCTCAGAGCATTTCTTAAACCTAATTAGCATACGTAAATAATCAATATTAAATATTAAATTCCACCTAAAAAAATGTTGAATGAAAATTTTATGACTTTGTATATTGGGGTGTATCATACCCCACCTGGTACGGGACGTAACTTTTAGTCACCTCGTACACGGAGGGTTAAACAAGAAATGATTCTGTTTACAAATAGTGCACAGTACGGTCTTTGTGTTTTATGGATTTTAAGCAAGGGGTCTGATCTCTTCTTTTGCCCCCTGCCTAAACGCCCAGAACCTCAGAGCGGCCTTAATGAGGCCGACTGTTGTGGCTGTGATGAACCCCACCATCATTGAATATTGCAAACTGGTTAGGAAATCTGGGCTTTGGATGGCCAGCCGCATCTTGCTTGAGAATGTCTCTTCAGGTTTGTAGGTCATAACACCTCTGAAATAAATTTGCCC